CTGTCACCCCCCTGCGGCCCCTATTAGGAACACCTCCTCTATTATCTCACTCTTTAGGTCTTCACTATGTTGTCTGACTCCATCTCTTCCTCAGTACCCACCTCATTTCTGAATCTCCCTCACTATTATGGAGAGCAATCATGCTCTTCCCTAGTTATGGGTGCTTTAACTTTACTGGAGGATGAGAAAATCAAATTTGGGGCTTTGACAGGATTTGTTTTCTAGTCATCTAATTTCACATTGACTATTTTCAGAGGCTGCAGGCTCTTGACCTATCTCCAGGGGGGTCCCCATAGCTGCCTCTATGCAGATCCTCTATATGGCGTGACCTGCCTGCCAGAGCCCCAGCTGCCTCCTCAAGATGAGGGCCATATTCCCACCAATACTAGCAGCATCCCTTGTATCCCTGTTATCCCAAGTCCATATTAAATGGCATTTCTGTGCCTTCATACTATGGATTCCCTCAGGAGAGGAGCTGCAGCTGAGAAGAGCTGAAATCTGAGCTATTAATTTATTTGCTCAGTGCTCAGAAAATCCTTTGGAGAAACTGATGCTGTTCATCAAGATTGGGCAGTTGGAATTGGTGATGGAAGGGCATAGAGACCCAGCAGGAGGAAAAGTGAGAGTGAGATAAAAGCTGCCACAAGAACACAGTGCTGGAAAAGCAGCTTTGATCAAATATGAGAAATAGAGGGATGTTTAGGGCAAGTTGGGGAGAGCAAGGGAAGCACAACATAACCACAGCAAATGGCAAAAACAACAGAAAAGGTAAGGGACTCCCTTGGTCAAAAGAACAGAACTAGTAGATGGAATGAGGAAAAGGAAGAGAGCTGATGGAAGAGAGAAAAATGAATTAACAACAGCTATATTACATCCAGCAAGATGCATTGTCCTGTGGAATGTAGGATCAGACCATCCTAACATGGACTTAAAAAGAAATCTGTGAGAAGCAAAGCAGAATAGTCCAAGAACTTGTCCACTGAGAACTGTCCTAGCTCTGAGTAACAATAAAAAAAAAAAATCTACTGGAATAGTTTAAATGTTTGCAATTCAGAGAGTGGTCAGAGACCAGCAGCATCAACATTACCTAGGAACTTATAGGAGTGTGGAATGTTAGGCCCCAACATAGACCTACTGAATCAGAATATTCATTTTAACACAACCTCCATGTGATTTGCAAACACAGTAAAATTTGAGGAGTACTGGATTAAACAAAAGTATTATGGAGTATTTCATAGATTCCTAGGGCAGGGATCTAGCACAGCCTAGGCAACAAACTGGAACCAGCAACTTGAATACTATCAAGATGCTCTGTCTCTTGCCTTTGCTCCTATTTGTATGTTTGCTTCCTGTCCCCACCCCACCCCCTAATTATCTCTCCAGACTGGATTGATCTGCTTCATAGGGCCATATACAGAAAACAAACTGCTGAGAGCTCATAAATTTTCACATTATCTCTTAAGTCACTTAAAGAGAGACCAATTTCTTTGTCTCAGTAATGAAATTACTGGGGAATGTGCAGATTGGCCCAGCGTGGGTCCAGTGTTCTCCCTGGGACCAGCGAGCTAGGAGGAGGGGGTGCAACTCTGGTGGGAACAAGGCAGCTCCCACTGTAACCATACTGCTAGAGCTGGAAAATTGTGCTGGCTGAATAATCCAATTAGCTGCCCACCTCCCACACCCTCTAAACAGGGCCAGCATTGGTGCATCTGGGCAGGTTGACTTTAAAGACAGCTGCTCAGGCTCTCCTGGATTTTATTTAAATAAGACATTAAGCAATGCCACCCTTGGCTTGTGCCTAAAGGAGAGTGGTCAGCGGTGCCTTTGTGAGGGTCTCTGAAAAAAGTAAAGGGTGCTCTCCCCTCTGGTCACACTTTACTGGAAAGATAAAAGCATTTTATAAGCCTAAGTTGTAGCAGACTTGGCAATGTCCTCTTCCTGAGAGAGAGGTTTCTACCATTTTAGCATTTGTCATGGGTTCTGGAATGTCAGTTGACTATGACTTAGCTGAACAGTTTGGGAATTGTTGAGGAACTTTAATTTTCAAACAAGAATCAAGTCTGGGCTGAGCTTGCAAACTGTCACCCTAGGGGTGAAGTGACTATGATGATTCTGATGATTCTGTTTTTAAGCCCAAACAAGCAAACTGATTATATGTGGTGATAGCTTATTGTGTTGGTATTACATAGAGCCTTTGGTGATGAGAAAATATAAACATCCCATACCCATGGCAAAAACTACCACCCCAGCAAACATCCTCATAATATTAAAACAATGCTAAGGACACACCTCCATATCTAAAGAGCACATTTCATGGAATGAATTGAAACTGGAAAGAAGATCAGAGACTGGAGGGACTATTATTAATATAGAAATAGCAGAGGGCTCTAGAATCCTGGGAATATCACCTCCATGGTTATTGTGCTTGACATACCATTTAAAATTTGCTCAAATTGAGGTGCTTGAATAATTGGGGCAGGACTTGTAGGTGTTTTGGGCTTTGGCTAAAAGTGGTCACAAACAAGTTGCATTTTTAAAAGAGCTCTTAAAGAACAAGCATGAATAACATACATAATAAGTAGAGTTGCGCCAGCAAGGCAGCCGAGCCAACGGTTTGCCCAGTGTTCATACAACTCTCTATATAGTGTATACTATTTATGGTTATTCTTTAGAAGTTCTTTAAAAAAATGCAACTTGTTTGCATTTTGTTTGTCCAGATTTGGTGACTGGTCACAGATTATTTGGTGTTCGACTGGCTTTTGCATGGCCTTTTAGTAGAAAATGGAACCACATCAATTGAGTACAATAACATGACCTCTAAAATATTAAGTTCTGCAATAGTAATAATAAGTTGAACTTTCAGAAGGAGAGAGCAGATCTGTGGTTACTAAAGGTGGGAAAGGGGTCATAGATCTAGGAGATTTTTGTTGTCTGGTGAGGACTGGAATTCTGAGTTTGCCAGTAGGATCTATGGCATTGAGACAAAAGAGGAAATAGATCAGGGCCCCTTCAGCAACTACATCAGATTTACTGTTGTAAAACAGAATAAAGAGTATGGGACTCTAGACTGCTGGCTGAACACTTCTCTCCACCCTCCCTCTACCCCCAGTGGGATACTTAATAATGGTGACAAACTTGGTGGAGATGATGACAAAATTCAATCTTAAAAAACAAATAATAAAGTCCATTAATAAAATTGAGGTGGACAGGTAAAATCAAACTTTTAGGAATCAGATCTCCCAATTGCCAAGTTTCTGTACCTTTAAATTGATCATTGTGTGTAAAATGAATGTTGAGAAGATGGGAATTTGAACACTTGGTTACACTATAAAGAGAAGGTTCTTTTAGAACTAAATGGAGGCATCTGTTTTGTTTAAATTAAGGGTCTGTAAGTACCAACCAGGGACTGAGCTGACAGCCATTTCTGTAATAAAGTAATAAATCATGGGGATGGTTAAGGAAGCAAGAAACACCACATTCTTGCTTTGTTCAACTAATTAAGCAATAAGCCATCTGGGTCCTTTTGTTAATTACTACCAAACACAACTTACACAATTGAATTCAGCCTTTTATTTAATTATATTAATTTATCCCAGGAACTTCAAACACCCACAATGCCAATAATAAAGTTCATTAAAAAAATAGAGGTCTTTAATTTTATTTCTTCAACCATTAATACTCTTTACAAGGCTGCCATCTTAGAATTTTTAGCTCCATTTCAGCCTTGGGATGTTAGTGGAATTTGTTTTAAATATAGACAGGTCTGAAGCAAGAAAACAGTGGCTAAAATCTGTCCTCTATAGGGGGTGATCTATTTACATCAGTGCTGTCCAATAGAACTGTTTGCAATGCTGGAATGTTCTATATCTGTGCTCCCCGATACAGTAGCCACTAACCACGTGTGGCTATTGAGCACTTGAAATGTGACCAGTACAATTGAGGAACTGAGTTTTACATTTTTAAAAATTTTAATGAACTTACATTAAAATCGCCCCATTTGGCTAGTGGCTACCGTATCAGACAGGACAGATCTAGAGTGTATTCTGAGGAAGGAGAAATGTAGTGGGCCATTGACTTAAGCATGTGGGAAATGAATAGATAATTATGATAGGTATTGTTTGGAAACCCACACTTCCTACCTCATTTTTCCTATTTGAAATATACTGTTTTCTGAGACAGCCCAAAGGAGATCAGCGTCTTTAAGGGGAGGTTTCTAAACTGAGCACGTGAAGAGCTAACTCCATGTGGGGGAGAAATGGGCATCTTCTTAACAGCAGAACCAAACCCACTCAGCAACTCTTTTGGCCAAACTAGGTAGGCCAGGTCCCAGGGAGGTCAACCTTCAGCTGTTGTTAGCCTTGGCTGTGCTCTAGGTGAGGTGTATTCTCCCCACACTTGTGAAGGTCAATCTGTGGGTACATTGGGGGGTGCCAGACAGTAACTACACACTCAGAGATGTCCCTGTCAACCCTCCCAGACATTAACACCAAACTATGTATCCTCTCATAAGAATTTTGGCTCGGACTATGGCATTTCCCTTTCATGAAGGTTGCCACTTTGCAAAGGTTGCTATTTCTCATCCAGTCAATGGAAACAACCTTCAAACAGGGCATCAAGAGAGTTTCTCAGCTGTAAACAGCTTTGTTAATGGGACTGCCTAGCCTGTTCCTGATCCTTCTAACACCAATGATTAAAGAGAAATATATTGCAAGGGAATCTGGTTATGGTTAACCAAGCTAGAGAAGGGCTAGGGCAGGGCCAATGGAGGTAGAAAGTTCCAAGGAAGTTCTCGTTAAGATGAAAAAATCTTATCCCAGGTTTACTGACCCCTTGCTGCTGTAGGTTGAGCTGAAGAATTGGGCCAAAGCTCTTTTCTGTCTTCTCTCCAACCTTACCCTTGTCTCTGTAGCTTCTTCTTCTGAGCAATGGCTCAACAAATGAACACAAAATTCGTGTTAATAAACCTAATCCAAAGTTTTTGGAGCCTCACACCATTAAATCCTCTTCACTTTTTAATTTTCATGGTCGACTACACAGACAATCCAAGTTAAGGCTATTTGAAGACAAAGAAATCGATCCATTGGATATATGTATCACGGAGGTGCTGTCAGAGAACCTCCAGGCCTCTTTCCCTAGTCAGAGATAAAAGCAATTGTTAAGTGCTCAGTGGAAAAAAAAGAAGGCTCTTCTGTACTATGTAATGATTGTCTTCCGGTGATGAAGACAATGAACCAATAAATTCATTTTTTTCTTTTTCTGTTTTTGAAAACAGCCAGCAGTCTGTGAAATAAGGTGCAAGAAGAAGAGACTTGCTGTATTCTCTCATAGAGCTTTCATCTTTCTTGTCACCAGGAGCACAAACACAAAAGGGGCTGCCTCATAAAATGTACAAGCTCTTTTAGTCCCCTTGGGGCTGAGCTGCAGTGGCCAAGACTCTCTTGTCCTTCTGACACTGGCATTCATCGTTCATCTACAAGGCTGACTTGGTCGAATTGCCACAGCTGGCTGACTTTTCCATCACACTGACGCAAGTACAGATCTTTGTTGTTTTCCTGCACCACGGCTTCCATGCACTTCCCAGAAAGAATGTGGACAATCATTCCATTCTGAAAAGGAAAAGAAAAAACATTAAAAAAGAAAACCAGCCCTCCAAAGTCAGTCAGCAAAGAAGCTATTTCTAAGATTCATGCTAATCATTAAGAGAATAATAGAGGTGGTGTGAACTGGCCTGTAAAGGAACTGTAGTATTTTGGTTAATATAAAGTATAATTTATGTAGCCTTAAAATTCAGATGTCATTCAAAGTCTTGGGGGTCATTAATCCAATTATCTTTATTGTGGTTGTTCCATTTCTTAGAGAGTTCTGGTTAGTAAAATTCCAGGGAATAGAACATATTTGGTCTTATACAGTGTTTGTGACATTATCATGACTGTAGTTGTAAATTTCTGCTTTCGAAAGGATTTAATCAGCTCTACCCTCTGTTAATCCTGCAATTTAGTACTGTTGCCACCAGGTTGTAGCAGAAAGTAAGATCTTGAGGATACACTGAAGACTGAAGCCAGCCATGTTCAGAATACTATGGCTACTCCCTGCTCACAATTCACCAGATTTAATACTAAGTCTAACCATCCCCCTTTTCAAGAAAAATTAGATTTTTTTAAAAGTTAAGCAATCTTAACCTTAATGTGTATTTATTTGATTTGACATATACTATAATATTACCCTTTTGAACTACACAAATTGGTGGTTTTAAGTATATTTACAAAGTTGTGCAATCATCACCACTATCTACTTCCAGATCATCTCATCACTGTAAAAAGAAACCTACTATCCATTAGCAGTCACTCCCCCTTCCTCCCTCCTCCCAGGCCACTAGACGTCATTAATCTACTTTCTGTGTTTATAGATTTACATAAAATAGGTATTCTGGACATTTCATGCAAATGGAAATATATGTGGCCTTTTGTTACTGGCCTTTTTACCTTGCATAGTATTTTCAAGGTTTATTCATAATGTAGTATAAATTAGTACCTTATTCCTTTTTTTTTTTATTGTGGTAAAAACACATAACAAAACTTACCATCTTAACCATTTTTAAGTGTAAGGTTTAGGAGTGCTGAATATAGTCACATTGTTTTTAAACAGATCTCCAGAACTTTTTCATCTTGCAAAACTGAAACTCTATGCCTATTGAACAACAACTTCTCTTTTCCTCCTCCTGCCAGCCCCTGGTAACCACCGTTGTACTTTAGACACCTCATATAAGTGGAATCATACAGTTTTTGTCTTTTTTTTTTTTTTTTGTCTTTTTCCGTGTCCGGCAACGGATCGCAACCCTCAGTGTCACCCCCGCACCGGACCAGGACCGGCAACGGGACCGCAACCCTCGGTGTTGCTCCCGCGCCTCGCTCAGCCAGTGAGCGGGAACCGGTCTGTATGTGGGATCCGAACCCTCGGGCGGGAGCGCCGCCGCGCTTCCCAAGCGGCGCACTATCCAGTGCGCCACCAGGCCGGCCCCAGTTTTTGTCTTTTGTGACTGCCTTATTCCACCTAGCATAATGTCCTCAACGTTCACCCATATTGTAGCATGTGACAGAATTTCCTCCCTTTTTAAGGCTGAATAATATCCCATTATTTATGTATATGACATTTTGTCATCTATTCATCCATGGATAAATATTTGGGTTGCTTCCACCTCTTGGCTATTGTAAATAGTTTCACTATGAACAGTACCTCATTCCTTTTTCTGGCTGAATGATAATACCTTTTTAAAGTCATATTTCTTAATGCCTGAAATATGCTGGGTGTATCTTACTGATCTTTTACTTATTTATAAATGCCGTTTCTAAATTGTATCTTATTCACAGGACTTGCTCAGAATGATTGCTTTTGATCATTCATAAAGGACCTTAACTTGTTTTCTAATATTTTTTTGAGCATGTGTGGGACCCTGAGTCCTGGGCTCAATTGTCGCCAAATCCCCACGAGCTTTATTCTCAACTGCTTATTGTGAGTTCAGCTTAAGTTTTCCATTGTATGGTTTTCTTCTTTCACAGCCTGCTTTAAGAGTACTAATGCACAGAATTCTGCTTAGTAATTTCACCCTCTCTATCCCCAAACAGAAGTTGAAGAAAATACATTTTTTAAGGTATATATTTATTTGTTTGTATATTAATACCCTAACTCATTTCAGAGGATTTGAGGTGGAGAAAAAGCTGTATATGGACACTGATTGTTGATACTGTCACCTTCCTATCCCAGTCCTCTATCTGGGACCCACTCACTCTCCCTAAGTACTTATATTTCTCCTATTTCCTCTCTACTGATGCATAACTTCTGGAAAGGATCTGGAGCTTCTCTTCCCCAAGGTAATAGGAGTCAAAATTTTACTAGAAAGATAAATTTCTCACAGTGAAGTTTGCATTAAAAGGAAGAAAGTGCCGTCTAATATCTATATCTATATCCACCTTTTTTGGTTAAGGGAGGGACTTTGCATTGCTCCTAAAACCACATCACTAAGGTGGTCAACTGCCTCTGTAACAAGGTCCACCCTCCTACTGGTGACCTGAGCTAGTAAACTTCAAAGGGGGGCTGATCCCTTTCTGCCACGACAAGGTCAGAGCTATACCAAGATGTGACAAATTCATAAATTTCAAGATGCCAGTAGCCCAACTTTTCTGCTGTGTTGCTTTTACCTCCTCCTGAGGCCTTAGTGCCAAGCCACTGAGTTAAACAAAAGTGTCACAGGTCTATAGGGAAATACCTGACCTCTTGGAAGAGCCTGGGATGCAATACCAACCAGAAATTCTTTCTGACCAGCAGCACTGCTGAGCCCTTCCTGAACAGATTACTTACCTCCTGGAAGTCCCAGTACTGATGACGGATGGCAGGGCCTTCCTCTGTGCAGTTCTGAAGAATCACCTGCTCTCGCCTGACATCGAAGCACAGGTGCTGTGGGCTGCCAAAGTGGATCTCCCTCCTGCGGGTGTGCTCCAGGTGCTGGGACAGAGGGAATGGTTGTTAGCACAGCCAGAAAAAGACCCTCTCTAAAGCTGTAGATGGGGCAAAAAGAACTCACAATAAAGCTGAGGTCTAGGGGCAATCTTCAGATTCTACTGGGGTCGGCAAGGCCATATCTCATGGTCAAGTCCACAGACATGCTACCAGACTAGCCTCGGTTTCTGAAGTCCACATTTGGCTGCTCTCACATTCACATTTATGCATTCTGACATGTTCCTCCATTATTCCATATACTAGATCATAGGAGAGGCCATAAAGAATGCTGTGTGTTTTGTGAGTGTACAAAACGGCAGATGAGGAAACTCTCTGAGGTCCAAGCTGATCTCTTTCTGAAGAGATCTGACCTGCCCTGAAACTAATTTTCCTGCTGTTCACTATATCTGCTGATACTCACTCATGGTGACTATTTCACCCAGTGTTTTATAGTATTGGATCGTGCATACCTTTGCAGAGGGGCTTTGACTGTGAGAAGCCTGTGCGGACTAATTGGAAGGCATGTCCTGACAAACCATTTTATTTTTGTTCCTGCCAGATGCAGCCTGAACCAATTTTTATGTTAATTTTGTGGCTTAGAGACAGGATCTGCTTCATGGGCATATGACCTGAACAGTCACATGGGGCCTCATGTTTAGAAGGGTTTAATGTTTTTGGTTTAATACACTTGGTTTAATGCTCTCCTGTCACTGTCTTGAAAATCTTAATAGTTGTCAAATTAGAGAATCTACATTTTCATTTTGCACTGTGCCCTGCAAATTAGATATCCTGTCCTGCTTGAGGATTCCCAAGCCACACAATTAATAAACATTTGAACCCTAAACCCATATTGGATGCAAGCTTGTAGTTAAAAATTCTCAGGGAGGGTAATTCTTTCCTACTCAGAGCTCCTGTAGTGAAGACAAGCTTCCTTGCCATTTCCCTGTGGCAGTGGGTAGATATTTCTAGTCAAACTTTTCAAGGACAGGTTATGCTTTGAAGATCAACTCTGACTTTACATGGAAGTCTCCTTTTCAACTTCTGATCTCTCATGGGCTGAGGGAGGGCTCTCGTTATCCCTGCATGGAGCCAACACCCCTGGATTCCTGAGGTTGATGGTAACCATGCCCTCACCCTTGGCCGCGCAGCTCAGCCCAAGCCCTGTGGCTCTATTTTCAGTTGCCTCTTTGGGCCCCTGGCGATTTCCCTTTCTTTCTTATAAACTCAGTTACATATGCATGAAAAAGGATGTTTCGTATTTTTTATTCAGCATATCATATTTAGGTATTTTCAGAGAAGGGTTTCAGCTTATCTAGTTCACAATATTGTGGCTCCAGAAGTCCTTGCTAATTTTCTCAACAACAACAAATAAAAAAGATCAAAAAGGAGCTAATCTGCTTGCATGAAGGAGGCTGCATTATCCCCAATTGCAGATGAGGAAGCCAAGACTCAGAGAGGTTAAGAAGCCTATCAAGATTACACGGCTAGAAAGTGGGGGAACTGAGATTCAACCCAGCCGTGTCTGACTACAAAGCCTGGACAATTTTCACCCTATCACATGGCTTCCTCACTCAGCACTTTCTATGTATGTCCTCATCCCTTGTGCTAAGTGTGAATGCCTATTGGTATGTTCTGGAAGACTGGTAAAGGGCAGAACTGGAAAAGGCCAGGTGGATCCTGAGCATCTCCTTCCCCAGATGTCCTCCAGGTCCAAGGCTTGCCCCGAGGAACCCAGGGCCTGCACTGCAAAGCCCAGCTTCAGCTAGCTCTCTCTGTGGGGCTGGACCCTAGGCCCTCTGAGAGATATTCTGTCCTTTGCTCCCAGGCTCTTTGGGCTTCACCTGATTTATTCAATGAATATCTCCAATTGTACTTTATTGTTTGTTTTTATTATGGGCCTTTGGGAAGTGATAGCTTAACTCAAAGGCCTCTGAAAGAAGAGATTTGGGACAGGCTAGACTTTCTAGGTTATCACCCAAGTTGTGAAAAGTGGATCACCAGCTCTCAGCTGGAATCAGTGGAGGCTTTCTACTGATTTGGGAGGTTATTCCTGTGATGGAAACTTTGAAGCAAAGAAGAAATACCCTGAGATAAAAGGAGACCTTCCTAATGACCAAGGGGCCTATACGGATGCTAGAATGACCCTGCTGCATCTAGATCCTTCCCCTAACTCTATTACCTTCTTCTTTCTCCTCAGACACCTGAACCCTGCCTGAACCCTGGAGGCATCTGAGTTTGCAACCCCTGGGCTAGTGACTCTAAGCCTCAGTTTCCTCATCTGTCAAATGAAAAGATTGGCTAAACAGCCTCTCCATTCCCCTCTAACTAAGATGCTCTTATTCTCTGATGATTGTTCATGTCCAGCTGAGGGTGAGTTGGGCAGAGCTGTGATAGGTCATTACAGTGGGGAACGATGGACAGCCAAGGGACATGGGACCACAGAAAGGAGATACCTCAAAGGGATGTGTGAGGGGCATCCTAGAAAAATGCCACCCACTTGCAAGTCTTCCTTCAGCTGTTTTCCATCCTGAGTAGTCAGCCACCCACCTGTTGCTGCCGGCTGTCACTGCAAGGAGCCAGCATCATGGGACAGCCCAGGATGTCCCCTTCTGCCTGGCAGTCTGCACAGAAGCCAAGTCCAGTGTTGTGGAGCTGAAAGTGGACATACACACAGAAGTGAATCCCAAGTCCATTGTAAAGATACCCTGGGTCAGGCACCATCCCTCTCCTTTACTCTCTGGGGCGCAGCTCAAGATGCACTGTTAAGGCCACAACAATGAGTGGGGTCAAGCTGAAGCCGTTGATCCTAAGGGACAGGCCTCCTGGAGGAGGTAGGCCACACCTGTCCTGCTGAGGGGGCAGGTTATGGGGCAGCCCAGTCACCTTCCTCAGGCTGGTGTGGAAGCAAGGGATTGATTCGAGGCTTCTGAGGCCCTGCCAAGCTTACGACTGCTTGTCCAGGGTCATGGAACACCTGAACATCCAGTTCTTCTTTTGGGAAGCTCCCCTCTCCCTCCATTTTTTCCTCCCCATCTCCCCCGGGTCATGACGTGCCTTTCCAGAGAACCTGGGCCTGCGTTCAGATGGATACAGCTCAGGGTAGATGTTGGCCAGAAACCAGTGGAAGGTCCGACAACCCAGTCTCCTTTGCAGCTGCAAGCGCCCTGTGCAGTCTGGCTTCTCAACCTGGGGGAGGAGAAAGACACTGGCAATAAGATGGCGAAAGCTTGTTTTATGCTAGAATTCACATGATGGGGAGAGAGAGAGGTGGCTGGGGAGAAGGTGAAGGACCGGGACAGAATGAGGGGGCCAAGACCATAGTTCCCTAGGACTGCAGAAAGCAGGGAGGGTCGTGTGCTGGGAGAAGAGGGTTTGGAAGGCACAGAGTAAGATGGATTTTTCATAGAGAGAGCTGGGGAGCCAGCAAGATTATAAATGATATGACCTGCTTCCCACAACCCCTCAAATCTTTAGTCTATTGAGACCGTGATATCTGTTCTTGAATGACTTTTCTGTGGAAGCTGGCAAAATTAGGGGGCTTTTTACCTAGTTTGGTGTGGTGCAGGACCACAGTGGGCCTCACGGAGGGGCATGGCCTGACCCAGAGGCAACTGAGATGCAGTCAGCTGGGGAATTGTGGGGTGGGGACTTGGCAAGGTAGGTTTATCTTTCTTCCCCTCTAGGTGCCCAATTACCTCCATTAATGAAGGGCTACACTTTCCCTCTCCTTGAGGTTCGCCTTTATAATACAATTGTTGGGGCCGGCCCGGTGGCGCACTGGATAAGTGCGCCGCTTGGGAAGCGCGGCGGCGCTCCCGCCCGAGGGTTCGGATCCCACATACAGACCGGTTCCCGCTCACTGGCTGAGCGAGGCGCGGGAGCAACACCGAGGGTTGCGGTCCCGTTGCCGGTCCTGGTCCGGTGCGGGGGCGACACTGAGGGTTGCGATCTGTTGCCGGACACGGAAAAAGACAAAAAAAAAAAATACAATTGTCCTGGGATGGATATCAAGGCAAATCTTTGACATTAATATAAATTAATATTTTGGGCTATATTGATATGATACAAAGAACACTACCTGGAAGTTTAGCATTAAATCCTGGATATTTTTAGGGAAGGTGCTAAGTAGGGGTTGTAATGACCAAAGGCAAAAAAGAGCTACTTCTTTCCTGGCATGGGGAGAAGAAAGATGTCCATGTGAGTTCCAACTTGATGGCTTCCAATCTGGCAATGAGATGCCAGCGCAGCGGGCTGTCTGAAGTCTTTAGTTTGATTCTGCTTTTTCCCTCTATTAGTCCTCAGATGGAAATGTTAGAAGGAGGAAGGTCTGTGTCTGTCATATTGAAATCCACTCGACATGCATCTCCAAGTGTGATTTCCTGATCATCTGCCTCAGGAATGTCCACGGAGCTTATTAAGAACATTCCTGGGCCCTTCCCCAGAGACTGTGTTCAGTTGGTTGGTTTGGGGACCCTGGAGTCTGCACTGTAGCCATTTCTCCTGGTGAGTCTTATCCACAGAGACTTGGAGAACAACTTTTCTTTTTTTTTTTTTGTCTTTTTCCGTGTCCGGCAACAGATCGCAACCCTCAGTGTCGCCCCCGCACCGGACCAGGACCGGCAACGGGACCGCAACCCTCGGTGTTGCTCCCGCGCCTCGCTCAGCCAGTGAGCGGGAACCGGTCTGTATGTGGGATCCGAACCCTCGGGCGGGAGTGCCGCCGTGCTTCCCAAGCGGCGCACTATCCAGTGCGCCACCGGGCCGGCCCTTGGAGAACAACTTTTCTAAGTCAGGGATTTCTTGTTTATTCAAAATACTTACCTATCATTAAACCAAAGGAATCTATTACTTCTTCCTCTAGGGAAATTAGTATAAGTTTTTTGATGGTTTCTCGGCATTCTTAGAGTTTATTTGAGGCCTCCCTAGCCCCTTTCCAGTGTTGGACTTTGTTGAACCAAAGCAGAAATATTCCTTTGTGCAAGTTCCATCACCTTCAGCTTTCCTGGTAATGAGACAAAATGGCAAATCTACCTAACCCTCGTTCAACCTCAAATGAGGGGGCATACTGACAATGAACTTTCCCTTCTGTACAACCATGCCTGAGAGAGGAGGAAACAAGGGACTGTCAACTCCCTCAGCAGTGAACAGCTGGGCTTGTCTTTTGGGTGCACAGGATTTCTGTATCAAAATCCGTGTGAGGGTTGGGGGAGGGGGGTCAGATAGAAACCTTTAGAGCAAATTCATTTTTAGTTGTTTAAATTTAAAGAAAATGCATGCTATCAAACACCTTTAGGGAGGCAAGGATGTCATTGAAATCTTGAAATCGAAGTAAGTGATGGGATATTTCCAAAACATGAATTAATGGGAATGAATGTTCAAAAGAGAGAGAAAAAAGGGAGACCTCTGCTAAATGTCTTCTCAACGTCCAGTAGGGTTGCCATTCTCCTTAAGAAAGTTGCCAAATGAACAAAGAGAGACATTTGTGGATCAGAGAATGGATACCCAAATTGATAGAAGAAAAGGGTACCTCTACTACAGACTTTATGAAAGTAAGTGTAGTATTTACTTGGTACTTTATATTCTCCAAAGCACCCTTTCACATTTTATTTCATTGTAGCCTCACAATAGTTCTTGAGTTCTCAGAGGTTAAACGCCTTTGCCAGAGTCAATAGCTTCTAAAAGGTCAGAGCCAAAGTATGTCCTCAGGTTTAATAACTATCCATACATTCCATCAAGGAATATTTATGGAGCACCTACTGTGTGTCTGAAATTGAACTAGGCATTGGAGATTTCAATGGTCAGCAGAATAAATACTGTCCTTGTCTTAGGAGAGCATGTAAGTCTGTGACACATTTATTGAGCACCTTCTGTAGACCAAAAACATCTCTGCCTCTCAGCCAAACTCAGACAGAATCACAAAGGAGAGCTACTTTGTGAGACTCCAGCTATTCCTAGAAGAGAGTGGTGCCTACATTTGAAGATTAGTGTTTCCATACGTCAGGGAGCCAGGAGGCAGAAAATAAACCCTGTTTGTACTAGTTCTAGTTCTAGTTCCAGTTCTACTTCTAGTTCTCTCCCTACTTTTCTTTAGCAACACACTCTTTTATGGGGCCTTTTTTTTACTGTTTTATAGAATGAAGGGCTTGGGTGAGCACAAACAAGCACTAAAAAAACCCTGCTAATTAGCAACTACACAAGCAAACTGGGTTTTCTCAAAAGCAGACCAGTCAAGCTCTAAAAACCCAGCATTATGCCAGGTCCCAATTTCTGTAATTGCCTGAAGCCAAGTGTATCTTCACAGACACTTGTAATTGCACTGACAATTGTGGGGAGAAGGTTGAAGTTCTGGAACTAATTTTCATGCTATTGCATTAAGCTGGCTACACCCAACATACCATGTTCTAGTGAGCCTGTCTGGTGGAAAATTAGTCCGGTATATCCGAATTTATGCTATATTTAACACTTCTTTAAGAGTTCTTTATAAATGCAGTGTGTATCAACATTAAGCAAGTGTCCTCTGAAAGCAAAAGTTAAATGCTAAACTGACATCTCAAGAGAGAACAAGATGCTTTGGCTAAAAGAAAGCCAAGAGGTTAAAAACCAGAAAAGCTCTGTGGATCTCTGTAGAACTCTGTAGAACACTGCTTGCTTCCCATTGCTCACTGGATAAAATCTAAGCTTTTTAGCTATACTTTCAGGGACTCCAGAATCTTCCCCCAGCTCCTCCACTGGATGTCTGAATTGAACCCATCCGGCCACAGTTCAAACCCCACCTCCCCTAAGAAGATGTCCCTTGCAAGCACGTCGAGGAGGAATCTCTCTCAATCCCTCTCATCTTTGCAGACATTAATCACTCCCAGGGGAGCTCCTGTCCTCACCAGGAAACTCACAGTTTGGGGTATAGTTCTGCATCCCCTGCAGGACCCACACAGGGCCTGGCACAGAGCAGGTGATCAGGTGGCCTTTGTTGACTCTTAGTAACCACAGCAATAATGGTGATAGTAAACAGCCATGCAGGCTTACAAAGAGCCAGGCAATCTTCTAAGTGCTTTGGATATATTAACTTATTTAATTATCTTAACAACATAAGGAAGGCTTAACAAATGAGGATGCAGACACACTGAGTGTTTTAGGAACTTTCAGGATCATATGACAAAAAAAAAAAACAGTATTCAAATCCAGACAGTCTTGTTCTTGACATCCATGAGCTTAACCATCAGACTGTAGAGTTTCTGCAATGGTGTCTAGAGTTGGACACATCCTTCCACTTCCCACAGATGGAGAAGGAGGAGACGGAAGAGGAACAAAGACATTAGCTAAGAATTGAGTGGAGTCCTTGTGAGAATTTTCCTTGCATTTCAGATCCCTTCTTGGAGTCACTCAGGAGGCTGCCATTAGTGGCATTACTCCTGTATGGGGAAAGGAGTCGGTGCCACTCTGTGTAATAAAGTGACTAACTCATGGGGACTGACAGGGGCCCTAGCCTGTCTAGACCTTGAGAATTATTGTTGAGACCCGAGACTTTGTGTATTATTAACTCTTTCCCTAGTTAAAGAAGTAAACAACCTTGAGGTTCAAGGAGCCCTAACACCCCAGGCCCTGGAGGCTGTTCCTACCTAGGGAAGGGGGTGGATCTAGGATGGGCAGGAGACCATGCCCTGAGGACCAGGGAGCAAGGGGACACACTGGGGCTCCTCCACAGGGCATCCCTGCCAGACTTCCCCCACACTGAGGGACAGGCCTGTTTAGTGGGCACTCGTATGTGTCTCTGTTTAAGGGGCCCAGCCTCCGTCTGTGGCACATGGTCCTCTCGTCCAGCTCACAGCCCAGCAGTGTGTGTGTGCTGGGAGCAGAAGCCACCACCCGGCTCTTTTCTTACCTTGCTCAAGGAGAAGGCCTCTGGGCTGTGCCTGTAGAAGGTTTCTTTGAATGACCCCAGCCAGGTCTCAGCAATGCGAATCTTGTTCCGCAGTGTGGCCTCCTGGTCAAGAGGGGAGTGAGCATCCTGATTTCGGTAGATGTGCCCCACCCGAGAACAGGGAAGGATTTCAACCGAGCCACCACAGAGCCAGGCCTGCCATAAAGGGAGAAGATCAACACCTCTGCACTCCAGCTCTGAGAACAGTGTGAAGTAAGGGGCCCCATCTGTGCGGGGCTGGCAAATGCATAGGAAATCGTTAGCAAAAAGCGTCAAGACAGTGACGGTTCTCAAGGCAAAGTACAGTTTCCAGGTCTGGGAGTTCTGGGCAGGAAAGTGACAAGGTGGGAAGAATGGTGGCAGCTGTGCCAGGACAACTGTGGGGTGAGGGGCCACACCCAGACAACTGCCTGAGCATGCCGCCCTTGACACACACACACATGCACACACGCACACACACACACACACTCAGCCCTCAGAGCTGTAGCCCTATGGATCGGCACCCCTGCTACCTAAAGGAGGCTTCCTAGCGAAAAAGCTGTCCTTTGTGGTCCGGGGATTTCTAAAAGCATGTGAAGTCTTCTGCTGCAAAGGCACCAGCAGCCATTTGTGGAGGAGATGAAAGCGAGCTTTCCTTAAACATGGTCTTTGCTGCTTCAGGAAGGTTCTGCCCGCTCTCCACTACGCTGCCTACACTCCCAAATGCCTGAAGTTCATTTTTTTTTTTTTTTTTTTTTTTTTTTTTTT